TTGTGCATACAGAACTGGGGTATAGGCCAGAGGCTCAGGGGCAGTGAGAGGCTTCACCAGAGACAGAGTGGGGAGCAGAACAGGAAGACTGACGAAGTACACTGCTGAAGGGAGCAGCGGGCGGGTCAGGAGAGGTCTGCCACGCCATGTGGTCACCTCCGGCGCAGGCAGGAATCGAACTCATGCGGAAGTGGCTAAGCTTCTTAGTGCAGTGCTTCTTAGTGCAGTGCTTTAACCCGCTGTGCCACCAGGGAGGGCCCAAACTATTATATTATTTTAAAAATATGCTTTACTGAATGTGAGAAAATATTTGCATATCATACATCTGATGGACTAATATGCAAGATCTAAAATAAACACATAATCTCAGTAAAAAAAAACTAAAAGTACCAGTGTAAAAATGGGAAGAAGAAAAAAATAGGCACTACTCCAAAGAAGAAACACCGATGACCAATGGGCACATAATAAAATGTTCCTCACCATTTCCTATCATGGAAATGCAAAGTGAGATACCACCTTACACCTCTGAGAATGGCCCATGTCAAAAATTTCAGAAACAGCATGTATTGGTGCAGGTATGGAGAAAAGGGAACCCTGATTCACTGTTCACAGGTATGTAAATTGGTGCATTTCCTATGGGAAAATGTATGGAGGTTTCTCAAAATATTACTAATGGATCAACCACATGACCAAGCAATTCCACTCTTAGCTTTCTACCCCAAGAATACAAACACTGTAACTTGAAGGTATATATACATTCCTATGTTCACTGTAACACTATTCACAATAGCTAAGCTATAGGAACAACCAAATGTCTCAGAACAGTTAAGTAGATCAGGAAGATGTGGTCCATACACGATGGAATACTACTTGGCTATTAAAAAGATAAACTCTCATCATTTGTGAAAGCATGGGCAGAACTGGAGGTACTTATGATACTTGAAGTAAGTCAAAAGGAGAGAGACAAATAACCATATGGTACAAATTATAGTATAGAATATAGAGAAATTAAACACAGGTCAGTTAAAACTAAATCAATAATAGCCCCTAGAAATCTGACTGTAGAAATGAGATTCCAAGAGGGGAGATGAATAAACAAAGTGAGAAGGGAGAAAAATAAACTCTAGTGGAGGACTATGGATGTTCAAATGGTGGGTGTGATGTAGCAACAACAACACTTAAAGGGGGATATCCTGTGCTTGCAAATTGCAAAGTTGTAAACAATTCTACCTCAATAAAAAAAGTACTTTCATATAAAAGGGTGGTATATAAACACATTACATATCATATATACTCATCCATTAATTTTAATCTCTACTCTAGGGATAGTGTCCTAACATCTGAAGTTCCTACACCAAGACTACGCACTCAAGAGATAATTTTTTTGAGAAAATTTGTTAACACATTAAACACTCGGATGTCCTTACTCTGGAGGCTACTACTACCAGCAAAGCAGTCACTTTAACACAGAAAGTCTAACTAGCTTAACACATGTTAAAAAAGTGATATTTTGTGGGAAACTGAATGATATTCAGAATGTGTATTGACCACAAATGCCCTAAAGGTCCTTTTGTCCTCATGAAAATTGGGTAGAAAAACCAGGTGAGCCCTATAGTTTATACTTTCCAGGAAAAAAAACAAACAAACTTGAATTTAAGATTGAAAACATATGCTGTGTTTTGGCCCTCATCAGAGGATTTCATTCCCAGACTCTGACTACAAAGTTAGCTATATCCTGTTGTTATAATATTACCAAATCTGCCTTGAGTAACCCATTTACAAGAGGTATATATATCTAAGAATACACTTCATTGAGATTATAGAACAGGGCACATGACTGTTTTTGTGTTTATTTGCTAATAAATGTTTGTGAATTTGTAGAATTGAGTCTGACTTGTATTGCTCAAAATGGACTTAGTAACTAATCAATAATTTATGAAAACTACTGTTTTTTAAATCAAAATACTACTGGTATTTATCAAAAAAGACCTAAAAATAAGGAACAACCAAAGTAGCTTATATCCATCTGCTACCAAAATCTTCCCTGCCTCCAGAAAAAAAATGAAAACAAATCTAAATATTTATATTGTCATATTTTTTCTTCTCTAAAACCACTTACCAATTTTTTCATCTTCCTGTACCATTTTCCTCTCTTCTCTGAATGCCCTGAGCCAGCGTATCTTCTCCTCCAGTTTCTTTGCAAAAAATAGATGTACCTCCTCAGTCTCCTTGTTGTGAAGCTTGAAGGCATTCTTCATGCTTACATTAAAATCATCATCTCTGCCATCTTCAATATCTACTACTTCATATTTATCCATATCAATGCGGCCTTTGTAGTACAGGATGTCTCTCCGGATAAGATCCTAGGAGGGAAGCAAGAGCTTTATTGGAATTATATGGAGAGTGAATACCAGTATAGTTGCCAACTGGGCGCAGAAGAACACTGCCATTGTTATGAGGTACCAGTGGAGTTTTGCTTGGTCTAAATTTTGGTAGGTTAGCTTAGTAGTATGACACTGAAAGGGTTAACTAGATGATCTTAGAGAAAGAGTCTGTCCTACATTTAAAGACTCTTAGACTCTGATATCAACCCTTACATGTGTTTGGAAAACTGCTGTTGTGAAGAAGCAGTAAGCCACAAAAGCATTGCTAGCAGAGGATTTTCCTCTCTTAAAATATTTGTGAGTCTTTACAATATGGCGTGTACATAGGTATCCAAGCAGGTCAGTGGGGACTACATTTGAGTGAACATGAGTGGTATTAATAACTAGGTAGCCACAGACTGCTTCCCAGGAAGGGAACACCACCAGTCATAATACTACAACCCTAAGGAAACCCCCATCTTAAATCTCATACTTATTACCCTCTGGCTTTCTCTTTATATAGTTTTACATCATTTATATCTATTACATTTATATAAGGTTTAATAAACATACATGTATACATATAACTACAATGATACATTTTAATTATGCTAAAAAACTGGAAAGAAAACATACAAAACAATGCCACATGTTTACATACGCATATACAAATACATACACATACATATATAAAACAAAAATCCAGGTACATGTCTTAAAAAACTTAGATACATACCAGTTCAGCAGAGAACAATGATGGGGAGGAACAGAGAGTAATAGGAGAAATACTATATTTGTAAGGATATATTTCTTAAATTGGAAAGTAAATATATTGGTGATGACTGTTATTTTATTTTGTTTTTAACATCAACCATATCATAAGTAACAAAAAGAAATATAAAAATGGATGAAATGACCCATGGGCTGTGGAAATATAAAGCCTTCACATTGTTATTTTTTCTTCTTCCATAATGATTGTGAATATAAAATAGGCTGTGAGTACCGATGGTATCTGACATGTTGGGTGCTCCTGGTATCAAGTTCACAGAAGAGGAAGAGGTCAGTTATATAGAGTGGACCAATGATACTGAAGCCTATTTTAGAGCCTGGGTTCATTTTACCCTGCTCAAAATGGATAAGCTCAATCCTGACCAAAAGTATAGAATGGCATCAACTTCCACAAGTTCACTAACATTTTATGAGACGTAGACATACAAGTGGACCCTGTCAGATAATATAATATGCAAAACCAGAATAACCTGAGGACAATGGATCAATGTAATCTAGCTTGATTTTGTAAAGACTGGAAACCTGCCTTACAATACATAGTACAAATACACACAAACTCAAGAAAAAAGGTCTAGACCACACAGCTAATAATTGGTTATTTACCTGTTAGAACATAGACAATCTCAACCTCCTCCTCCTATTCCTGAGTTAAGCTTGAATCCTCCTTTCCCTTGGAGTTGATTTATCATAATCATTTAGTCTTAAAAGTCTTTATTAGTTTCCAAAATTGGAAAGAATATATAGGATCTTGGAACTAAAATATAAGCATCAAGGGTAGTGAAGAAAAAGAGAATTTTGCCTGAGATTGGAACAAGGCTATAAATATGTGTTATTAAATTCTTCCTTTACTTGCTCCTTCTTTCCAAGAGAGTAGGATGTGAATTTTCAAAATATCAAATTAGACAGAAAGCCAAGTGTAGGAATGTGATAGAGATGATTGAGGATGACCACTGCTCAGAAAACTCAATAAGAAAGGGTAGTTAAGGTTACAAAGCAGCATGAAACAATGGAAATCATATGAGGTAGAGTCCAGAACCCTACCTGCTTAGTCTAAGGCTGTATGGTCTTGGGCAAGCTAATTAACCTCTCTAAGCCTCAATTTATCAAATGAGGAGAACATTCTTGTGAAATCATTGCAAAACAAAAATCTAAACATGCAGTTTTCAGGTAATGAGACCATCTTGTCTGATAAATATGATACTGAAATTGCTTTCATAGTCCTTTTAAAACTTTTGATAAATCTAAAATATCTCATTGTCATATTCAGTGTATTTTAATATTCAAAATATGTTAAATAAACTTATGCCATTCATAGCAACATGAATGGAGTTAGAAGGAGTTATGCTCAGCAACACAAGCCAGAAGGAAGAAGGAAAATATCAGATGGTTTCACTTACAGGAGGAACATAGGGGGGACAAATAAGGGATCAGGGAAGTAACTAATAAAAGTCATAATTAAAAACCAAAACTAGCAGGCTACTATAAGTTGGACACATTCTTAAGGGATGGGAAGGCAGACATATCAAAACAGGGGAGGGAGGAGCAATAGGGACTATGGTTTCGGTTCACTGGTGTATCAGTGGTGGGAATTTTACAGGGACTACACCAGAGAGGAGAACGTATGCATTGTACAAAAATGAACAGTGATATAAATATGTGTGTGTGTAAACAAAACCAAAATATGCTAGATATTTTGACTGAAGGAAAATCAAAGCAAACAACACTGAATATTTATAATTTTACATAGCTACCCTATTGTGCCTCGAAATTCTTATATCCTTACAGGGCAGGGGCAAGAGTGTTGATGGTGGGTACAGCAAACTGTATTTACCACTCACTCACCAAAATCACAAATCTATACATAGGGTTAGATTAATATATGTTTCCTGCCTCAACAACTCCTCCTGACCAGCTCTTAAAGTCAAATTCTCATGCTCTTCTTTTCAAAGAAAGCCTTCACTGATTGTATCCTCCAACTCATTATTATGGTTTCCCTTTTTTCAGTGTTACTACTGATGACCACCAGGATGCTAAATGCATTACTTGTTTTACAGCTTTTACTTTTATTTTTATTTGCCTATTTAGGTTTTGCCTTGCACTGTACTTTCCTTAGTCTTGCCTTACTTAGGGGTTGTGCAAAAAAGGATAACTAAAAAAATCACAAAGATTTATCAGCTCAGTTTCTGCACATGTCAAGGGAACAAAGCCCACCTGGCTCATGGTTGCCTAGAGGACCAGGATTGTCTACAAGGAAGAGGTTGTCCACAGGCTAATGGTGGCCTGAGTATTTTCATGGTGAAATTAAAGATACATGGTGAATAGGTACTCACCAAAGATACTATTTGGGTTATCACAAATTCCTTGCCCAAATGGGGTCATTTCTAGTAATATCCTGTGGGGCTATAAAAGGAATATGGAGTCACTCAGCCTCTTTTCACCATGGCCTTCTGGTGGATAGTGACTCAACAGCCACTATATAACCATAATGTATACTCTACATGCATAGAAATGCATCTATCCAGTATCTATAAACACAAATTGGCTTCATGCTGGCTTTGTCCAGAGACACTATAAAAAGATAGGTGGAGCTTTCTGTTACCCCTACCCATGTATCCTGTCCTCTGATGAAGCAATAAAGGCATGTCATATCTACCCAGAGCTCCTTGATTCTTCTTTGGTCTGCCTGAATCCAGAGTGTATCTGTCAGATATTGAACATTTGAAGTACAACTGGTGTAGTTGTCAGGATTCAAAACAGTGGTTATGTAGGCTTCTGAGTCCACAGGAGGGATTTGTGGATAGCTGAACACAGATCTGTGGTACTTGGTGGTCAGACTCCTCTCTGTGTGCGTACTTCCACATGAATGGATAGAGGTGGATGAGGTCCCAGATGCAGATGGCAAAGGCCCTGCACACAGTAGGGGAGGTCCTAGGCAAGTGTAATGCCTTCCCAGTGGCCAGAACCGTGGGGTGGGTATTCCTCTAAGCCTTGTGGGTAGAATAAGTAACTATGCTTAAAGAGGCTCAGGAGGCACAAGATGAGCTGATGGCACTGCAGGAGTGCTTGAGGTCCCAGAGGAACAGAAGGCTCAGGGAGACTGGCCCACCAACTGCCAAGATAGTGAACTCCTCCTCCTCCAATGAGGACCATGGCCCATTGCTCCATCCCCACCAAATCAGTAATGCAGAAGATGAAAGCAAACAGTCTGTGGCCATAGGGGTTCAGGCTACTGTACTGTCACACATGACAGAGTTCACCATATGTTGCCTACACATGCACGTGGAAATGCAGAGTTGGGTAAACAATTCTGTCAACAATGAGGGGAACCTTTGGCAGCCTGACTGCTTTGTTTATGGGACCTGGGAGGTGGATGGGATCATTTTTATGGCCACAGTAGATGGTAAAATTGGTTTTGGTAAACAGTCACCCATTTTTGTGAGCAATTCCAAATAGTTGGCAACATGGTCAGGGCAAATATTCTTTGTTGAAGTGGCTAATGGCTGCCATGTGGATGGTTCGGGCCAACATAGGAGATGTGCTAGACTGTGAGTAAATGGCAAACATGCTGAGCTTGTGCAAGTGCTCTGTGAGTTGGGCATGCAGAAAGCTATGACTGACATAAACACTCATGACCCTGATGAAGAGAATTTTACTGTGGGCATGAGGGATTTGGTTCTGCAGGGCCTTTTCCATATGCACTCAGGACCCCATTTACCTTTGTCTATTCATGGGGAAGTGCCCCCATTGTGCCACAGAGGATCCCTTTACCCTCATTTGGATCCCTTATGTTAATCTGGTCCTGCATGCAGGGCAGTAGATAAAGTCACCACAACGGTGGTCTGTCTAGCCAAAAGTGAAAGCTCACACTTCCAGAAGGGAAATAAGCAACCAGAAAAGTCACCAAAGTAGGTGAGTAAGACTATCATCCCCCCACGCACACAAATATGGGTGGATATGCTGGGTTCCAGGGTAGATCATGCTAAAATTTATGGGAAGTTTAGTGTATATTTACTGGATTTGTGGCAATAGTCCTAGGTGTGGGAGGGAAGTTTCACTTCCATAAAAAGGGAAATTACTGTGAAAGAGATATTGGGGACTCCAAATTATAGGCTCCAACTGTGTGCCTTGAAGACCACTGATTACAGAATAGCCTGAGCAGATGCCATGTTCACCTTTGACCTGTCTGCAAGGGACAAGTGAGGGCAGGAGGC